AGTCAAAAGTGATCAGATTTACAAAGTTATGAGTTCATAGATGGTATAAGACGGATGGAGCTAGTGTGATGCCAAAGCTGCAGGTTTTCACATGGATTTATTTGACTGCCATGGGACTGGATTTCTTTTTGCAACCTTGGGCTTTCGCCCTCTGGTGGCCATTAAATAGAAGACATGTTTAAGGGACTTGTGGTTAAACTTCACTTTTCAAACCCAGAATCTATGTCCCAGTTTTTATACTCTTTATGCATCGGTTAATATCTATTGCAAACAAACCAATGCAGGAATTACACTCACTGTAATTCTGAGCACAGACGACGTGTTTGCTAGTTCAAAAGAAACCATAGAGCAAGTGTTGTTGTAAGGAATTTCGCCTTAGATTGACTGAGGTGTTGCTTAACTAACAAGTAGGTTAACACTTTGGTCTAAATGCAGGTTATTTGGTTATTTTAAGTATTGAGCGTTGTGCTAAGTACATTTTGTGGTTATGAGTATTTCAAACAAGAGTTTCTCATCTTCATTTCAGGATATCAGCTGTGTGACAACAGCGTTGGCGTTCTGTTTAACGACTACACCCGTTTGATCATGTACGCTGACGGAGACAGCCTGCAGTACATCGACAAGACGGCAACTGAATCCTACATGAGCGTGCGCTCTTTCCCTTCCACTCTCAACAAGAAGGTAAGAAGTTAGACCTTTTGTTTTGTGTGTGAGACGAGGTTTTAAATGGTTTCGCGCCCTCGTTTTCATACTCAACTCAGTGTTTCTCTCCTCTTTGTAGATAACATTGCTGAAATACTTCCGCAATTACATGAGCGAACACCTGCTGAAGGCTGGCGCAAACATAGCACGTCGGGAAGGAGATGAGCTGGCACGACTGCCGTACCTTTCCCTCTGGTTCAGAACCAAAAGCGCCATTGTGCTGCACCTCACTAACGGCACGGTTCAGATCAATTTCTTCCAGGTAGGACGCCACACCACCTTCCTATGGTCCTTAACTGTTTTACCTGTCTTGTGATGCCATATACAGATCCTTTATTCATGCTTTTGTTGCTTTGTCTCTGGCAGGACCACACCAAGCTGATCTTGTGTCCGCTGATGGCTGCAGTGACCTACATAGATGAGAAACGAGACTTCCGCACCTACAAGCTGTCTCTTCTGGAGGAGTTCGGTTGCAGTAAGGAGCTGGCGAGCCGCATTCGTTACGCCAAGCTCATGGTGGAGAAACTGTTGGACAGCAAGCCCACTCCCGCCGCACATTAGTCCCCAAGTGTCTTTAATCACCGGCTGCTTCTCCGTGAGTTCAGGACGGGCTCGAACTTTAAGTCTTCATCTGTTTTATGGGTCATGTTGTAATCCTTTTTTATTGCCAACACTTTCACACCTACCGTGACAATTCATCTTATATATGTTGTACATGGAAAATTCCCGTCTTTCAGCCGCTGTTTTCTCTTTTTAAAAAATTTTCTTGCTGTTTATAGAAACTCTCATTCACCTCTTGTTCTTGTGACTTTCTCGATGAAGCTTGCGTTCCCGCTGACACCGCAGCACAGACGGTGTGTGTTCAAATGAGTCTAGACGGGAAAACGTGAATGTTCCCTTGGTTTACATTGAACTTAAAGTTGGAACGGTCCTCCGAGGTTTCCTCTGCATCTTATGTTTGTACATAAAGTCCTGCTTTTCAAACTCTAAACTGAGTGGACAGACTGTGAGGTGGGAGGTTGAGACTCGGGCCGGCTGTGTGGGTGGACGAAAGCTTCTCTGGTCTGCTTCTCTAGTTTGTTTTTTCTGTGTTGTGTGTAGAGAAATGGACCATGTTAATACGTCTGCATCATGTACATTCTTTCTCTGTTAGTTTTACTTTTTATAATTCTATTTTTAGATGGCATTTTCAACAAGTTGTACAAACATGTACATACTGCTGAATATGAAGACATGTTGTAAAGATGGATTAATTTTACCTGTGTTTAAATAAAGATTCTCTTGTACAAGGCACTTACTTCATGTCTTCAGTTGAATTTTGATGTTAATGTAAGTTGTTTTTTGGGGGGGCAGTGTACAATCTGGATATTTGTCAGCAACAAAGATTAGTATTACAAGTCAGGGATGTTAACTGGGGGGAAAAAACAAATAAATACCACACCAGCTGAGAACTGGTTGAACTTCTACTCATGGTATGACTGAAATTGTGGAGAGATATCCTGTTTTCATACACCCAGCACAGGATTCACCCCTTCTCAGGTCACATGTTGAGGTAAGCTACTTTCTCTTTTTCCCCCTTTAATATAAATGCAGGTGTCCTCTGATATTACACACTTAAACACTCTTGAATTTCATTTTTTGACTTTAAATCATTGATGTAGAACCTATTTTGATCTCATCTGCATCAGACCAGTGAAACTATCCTTTCTGTCAATGTACTGCACTTTAACTACACATTCATCCTAGAGATGCCTTAATGCTGAAGTATTATTTTAACAGGTTGTCTTTTTCTACATTATAATGAAGTGCTGCTGCAGTATTTGAAATAAATCTGTCAGGATGAGACTTAAACTGTTTGAAGTAAATGTGTAAAATTACAGAAATCTGGAACTTAATTACTGTGGTTTGGTATGAATGGCTATGGGGGAAATCTTGATCAGTGGAAAAAGCTATAAAACCTATGCAAGTGCAATTAAAAGTCCAAAATTTCTGTTGCCCTTCACATTGTCCAAAGCCATCCAGTGGATTGGAGTCTGCACTGGGCTGATTCTGGCCCCTGTTTGAGACCCCTGGTTTGAACCATAAAAAGGATCATGTGATCATCCACTTCACTTGTCTCCTGTGGTCTTTCAGGCCTTTGGTGTTGCTTAGCTGGCCAGTGTATCCTACCCCATATGACCTCGATATTGCTTATTCTTTAATTGTGCAATTATTACTGTCTGTGGAAATGGAGCATCTGAAAATATTGTCATTAATTCCTAAACATCAGTAACTTCAGTCACATCTTGATTGCTTCAACATACCTTGGCGGTGTATGGAACAAAAGTACTGTAATAAATATATATATATATATATTCTCTTCTGCTTATCAGGGTCACAGGGCTACTGCCTGAACAAGTGCATCTAACACTCACACTCAGATTCACACCTATGGGCAATTTATGACCAATTAATGGCCATGTGGTAGGATCGAACTCATTAATAACTGTGAACCCCACTGTTGCCTGCTGGTCACCAACGACCTGACTGTGAAACTCACCTATTTTTATGACTGTGGCTCATAAATATTTGCTTAAAGAAATAAATGTGACCATGGTCCAGTAAACTATTTATGATGAAATGAGAAATGGAAAACAATCTACAGGGGAAATGAAAAACTGTGAATATTTTATTAGGGGAGAACTATTGAATAGTAACTACAGAGACAGTTAAATAATATTTATAAGGAGAAACATTGTGGTGGCATTATTACATAAAGGGAAATAAACAAGCACCTCCCACTTTGTTAGGTACATCTGTTTAACTTCTTGGTAATGCAAACATCTATTCAGCCAATCACCAGCAGCAGATCTCTTCATTTAGGCATAAACCTGAGCATCAGCATAGGGAAGAAAGGTAATTTAAGTGACTTTGAATGTTCCATGGTTGTTGGTGACAGACAGATGGCTCGGGGTATTTCAGAAACTGCTGATCTGCTGGGATTTTCCCACACAGTCATCGCTAAGGTGTTACAAACAAAATATGCAGAGGAGCATCTCTGAAAGCACAACACATTGAATCTTGGACTGCAGCAGCAGAAGACTACACCACATGTGTCACTGCTGTCAGCTAAGAACCAATCAATTTGGACAACAGATGGGAAAAATGTTTCATGGCTGATGAGTCTCAATTTCTGCTGCAACATTTAGAAGGCGAATTGTTGCTGTGCATGTTCATCCATTTATGAGTACAGTGTACTCATCTCCTGATGGCTGCTTCCATGGGATAATGCACCATGTCACAAAGTTCAAATCGTCTCAGGCTGCTTTTTTGAAGATGACAATGAGTTCACTGTACTCATTTCCACAGTCTATAAATAGAGCACTTTTGGGATGTGGTGAAATTCACATCATGGACAAATCTGCACTATCTGTGTGATGCTATCATGGCAACATGGGCCACAATTTCCAAGGAACGTTTCCTGCACCTTTCGGAATCTTTGCTACGATTAATTAAAGCAGCCCTGAAGGTGAAGGGGGAGGGGCTAAAGTGTCCGGAAAGTGTCTATTTTGGGGTAAGAATTTGAAACGAAGCCCCCCCAACCGGATGTATTGCATTATTTTTTAACTGTCCTGTAGCTGGTAAATAATATAATATGGTTATTTTGGGCTTTTAATGATTTCTCTAACTTTCATTTCATAACATACATCTGTTATGACTTTTTAAAATGTAAGAGTGCACAAGCTTGAGTTTATTTTGGATTTTTTTAAATCCACACAGGGTCACATGTACACATACATAGACTCAATGGATTGACACCGGATGTCAGAACAATGGCAAAGTCTAATGAACTCATGGACAGCCCACGTGTTTTATGGTCAGACAAGATAAAGATTGAACTATTTGGTCACAGTGACAAGAGTAGGAGTTTGGGGGAGTAAAACTACAGAACACTGTACTGACTGACAAGCACAGTGGGGGTAGCATCATGCTCTGGGACTATTTTGCTGCCGGTGCTACTGGTGCGTTGAAGAAAGTGGATGAAATTATGAAGATGGAAGAATGCCTTAAAATTCTCAAGTTTCACCTCAAATTAAAAAATGTTCAATGTTTTAATAATTATTTAAAAGGACACATCAAAACTGGTTTTGGATTGGATAAAGCAAGCTAACATCAAACCTCTAAAATCTTGTTCCCAAACCCCCTTTTAAATATTTGTCGACAAACATTTAAAAGCCGGGTTCATGCCTGATTAACTTGTTTAAATTCACCACCAATTCTGACAAGAATTACGATTAAATATCAGGACAGAATTATGACAAAAGCTTGCTGATGATTATCAAAAAGGATCTGGTCATCTTTACGTTTAACACGGACAGCCGACGTTCACGTCAATGATGAGTGTAAGTAAACTTCACGCCTTTAGTAATTTTATTACTACAGGATCCATTTCAGTAATATACTCGAGTAATAGTATTTCCAACACTGCATACTTTTTAAAAACATGGTCTGTTGTTTTGAGCCACAGTTGATAAAATGTACAGAAAATAAAGAATTCACAAATGTTTAATGTAAATCTTAAAACCAACTTTAGTAAGATTTCTTTTCTATATAACAAATACAACATAAACA